GTCAGCGGGAAGAAACCATCAGCACACGTCCCCGAGCCTGGCTGCACCCACAGGCCCTGCCAGCTAGGATGGAGGGGAGAGCCCTCCCTGCCTGGAATACTCCAGCACCTCTAGGGAGCCTGCCCCAAATGTCAGGGCTCCTCAGCCCTGCTGTGGTGCTGCTGTGCCAGTCCCCTCACAGCGTGGGGCAAGAGCAGCCGAGCCAGGGGCTGCTGCACCCCGGGCACAGGATGCTCTGTGAGGAGAGGGCAGTGTCCTGCAGCCCAAAACACAGAGGGGGAAGGTGTTGGGGTAATGCTGGGAGACTTGACAACCAAAGAGGATGCTATGGCACCCCAGGAACTGCTCTTCTATAAGCAGGACAGCCCGAGGAAAAGCAAGGAAACTACTCTGAGTGGTGGAGAGCAAGGGAACCGTGGACCAGGGCCAGATGGCAGCAGGAGCTGCTGGAGAAGCAGGGGCTCAAGTGCTGCAGCCACCAGCATCTCTCCGTGGTTGCACAGAGACCAAGAAAACCTCTCTGCAGACAAAAAAAGAATGATAAAAGCACCAAGGAGCAGCGTGGGGAGAGCAAACGTGTCACGTCTCTACCCTGGAGCCTCGCCACGGGCCGCCCCGGGCAGCTGCTGCAGCAAGCAGGGATCTCAGTGCCTCAGCCTGGGTGGCAGCTGCCCGGCCCTGGGCCACCCTGTGCACCCTGCCTGCAGGCAGGATGGGCCCAACCCACAGCACAGCACCTCCCGTGCCCCCCGATGTCACCCGAACCCCCCAGCATGGCTCGCCAGGGACCACCCAGCGCCTGCCACCACAGGGTTAAAATCCACCGAGTCGTTTACCTCAAATACCAAGGCTGCAAAAGTGGGGCTTGGCTTCTGGCAGCCCTTGGCGTCAGAGCTGAGGCATCTGTTGGAGCAGCAGAAACACACTCCTGCCCTTTGGCTTCCACGGCCAAGCAGCGAGACGCCCGCGCCTGAGCCCGCTCCAGCAGTGGAGGTTTGGACCGAGGCAGGAGCAAGGATGAGACCTCCATGGAAAATTCGGGCACAGCTGGGGCACAGACAGCCCTGAGTCACCCAGGGGAAGACGGCTCAGGCACAGGAACTTGGTGTCGTGCCCCCAAAATCTCCCCTCGGGGCTTTGCCACTGTGTGAGCCCTCTCCCAGTCCTAGGAGAGCCCCAGGCTGGGCTCCCCACCGCAGCATCATCTGGTTTTCAGCTCATTTCTGACCATTTCCTCTCCACTTCCTCCATCCCCAGTGCAACTCCCCCCAGAGCAATGGGCTTCCCTTCTCAGAAAGGACATGAGGAGGCCGTGGGGCTGGTGTGTCCCTCTCCCTTAGTTGAAGGGACAGCCCTGGCACCTCTGGACAGGATGGGGACAAACGAGTGCCCCACTCCAGCTCTGGGAAAGGGGAAGATCTCAGGCTGCAAAAGAGAGGGAGAAAACTGCCTTGGATTAAACTCCCAGGCCCTGCATGTTGCCATTTATGGCTGCACATTCAGCTCCGAGCCTGATGCAAGAGGTTGCAAGAGGCAAAGAGAGGAGACAGGACACAGCCAGCCAGAAAGAGAAAAGCCAGGAGGAAAAGGGGAAGAAAGAAGCCTTTTAAAAAAAGAACAAATAATGCCGGGCAGAGTTTAGGAAAGCAGCTGCTGTGTTGGCAGCTCCCTTTCACCCCACTGCTGCAGCTCTGTCCTCCCACAAGCCATAGAAGCAGCTGCTGCAGGGCAGGAGCAGTTTTCCTGCCCTGGGTGGTGGTCCTGCAGCCCTGTGGTGCCCCAGCAGGGATGTGCCTCATGTGGGGCTCTTGCATCCAGCCAGCTCATTGCTGCTCTCCCCTTTTTTGCATTAGCCTTTGGGAAGCAAACGCCACAGGCACCAACACTGGAGCATCTCTTTCTGCTGTGGAGGAGTCAGATGGGCTCCTTGGGCAGGGAGCAGGGGCAGACCATCTGCTCACACCTCAAGGGCTCTCCCAGGAGCCATTCACCTCGATGGACACTTCAGAAGGCAAAGAGTCCTCGTGGCCTCTGCTCCAGGGCAGGCTACCAGGGCTACACCCAGCCCAGAAAGGACTGGGCAGCAGCGTAACCTCCTGGACCCTACCTTCACGGGGAACACAACGCAGAGCCCCCCACAGCCATGCCCCATGCTGCATCCCAGTGCCAGCCCCGTGCCCCCACGGCACGGCTGGGGTGCAGGAGAGGGCACCAGGCATGCCCAGGCTCCCAGGGAGGGTGACACACGTCCTGCCACTGCACGAGCTGATGGCACAGCTGTTGGCACAGGCTGCACTGGGTGAGAGCTGGGGCACGTCCGAGCAGCCCCAGCCCCAGCCCCAGCCCCGCAGCCCGCTGGCAGGGACCCATGCCAGGCAGGGGGGAGCGCACCCCTGCACCCCTCCCCGACACGCTGCAGGACAGCAGAGCCTTTGTCCCAGCCCTGAGGTAGCCCAGGAGCAGGCTGCGCAGCCTCCAATTAAAGCCAGACTAATTAGACACCCTCTCCCCTCAGGCACAGGAGGTACTAGATGGGAAGATGCTGACAAATGTAACGAAGGTCACCGCTGTGAGCCGGGTGCTTTGTGCTTCTGCTGCCTGCTGTGTCCAGAGGCACCGGGAGCCCCCAGAACAGCACAGATGGGGTGGGAGGCATGGAGGAAAGGCACGAGAAGCTTTGTCACCAGGGGAAGGGTGACGTCCCCTTCCTGCCGTCACCATCCAGGTGACAGCAGCAGTCAGGCAGGGTTTGCACAGCTCCCTGGCTGGGGTGAGCTGAGCTCCTCCAGTGCCAGATCACCTCCAGAGCTGTCCCCTCTCCCCACTGGCACCCACTTGACCCTGTTCTGTTTGAAACC